CATTTATTTTAGGAAAAACTTACTTGGATTTGAATTTTTGAAGTGTGTTTCTGTTGGACAAAAAACTAAATAATAAAAAAGCACTGATTAAGATATTTGTCTTAATCATTTATTACTCTTAATTTAAAAGCATTTTTAAATTTAAATCACTTACAACATCAAAATTGTTACTATAAAAATATTTACCTCCAAGAACTGTAGTACCACTAATTGAGAACTGTGAATTGGTCATGTAAGGTCAGAAAACAAACAGAGCAACAAGATAGCATTGAAGACTCATTAACTGTCCTATTCTGCCTTTATCTATGAAACACAGGGGATGCACATGAGCTAATGGAAGTGAGTGTGTATGTTTATGTGGTTATAACAGAAAAGCAGCGGCGGGATCTGAGACTCGCCACAACGGGAACAACAGCTACGGCTTCAATGCTAATTGACTAATTTAGGTCACTTGTTTGACCAGAACCAGAGGCTTTTTTGTTCATGTTCACTGGGCATTCATTGGCTGTAATTAACAAGCGGACTGATGAGGTTGGCAACGAGTTTCAAATTATCCCCTCTTAATGGCCTGCGAGTTTAACAGATTTCCATCAGTCTGTTGGGGCCGTTGCACAAAGGTGGACGTCATAATGAGTGTTTTTTTTTTTTTCAAAATTTCCCAAAAGTTTTTGAGTTTTATTCAGGTTTAACTATAATTTAGGTGGCGCTTTTTAAGTAAATGGTGAAATTTTTTATTGAGGTATTATTCAACCATTTGAGCTTGATAGGGTTCTACTAAAACAGCCCTGTATAGTTAGAGGAGACTAGCAGGTTGTTAACCAGATGTTCAATGACTGATTGAGTCACATTATACACTATCACTCCAGCCATATTTCTTGTAACACTACTCTATTATTGCACGATGTCATGCAATACCACAAGTACTGCTTTAGCGCTTATCAGACTGGGCTAAATAGTTTAGAAAAGAGTAACAACCTAAAGAGCTCTTTAAAAAATGAATTACCTGCAGTGACTGACAGGTTGTTCTTGGCTTTTATTACCAAGAGACAGGTTCCTATTTTTTCTATAAAAGTTTGCATTTTGATTAAAGCCTGTATCTCCTTTTCAAGTCTGTCCACATATATTGTCAATCCATAATCATATTCTGCATTTAAAGCCTGTTCGTCTGGGAAATGAACTCCATAAGTCAAGATTTTCGAAAAAGATTTAGCCGATGGACAAAACAGACTATTTCAGCTTAATGGGTTCTAACAGGGACCGGCCAGTTATAGTTTTCCTGATTAGTGAGTTGGTGTAACAAAAACACTCTTCTATTTGGAAGCTCTTACTGAGAGAAAAGTCGTAATCTTAGCCACTGAACTAGCTATTTAAGATCAATGTGCAGAGATTTAGCAAGCAAGTTTTTGTCCAGCTTGGCTTCAGAGCTGATATTCAATCCAGACATGGTATGTTATTTTAAAAAAAACGTGAATGAATTGACAAAATCCAGGTAGAGGCAGGTAACGTCTAAAGAGGAGCAGAAGGCAAAACATGCAGACACAGCTGAAGATGACAGGCTGGCAACCTGTCCAGGGTGTACCCCGCCTCTCGCCCATTGACTGCTGGAGATAGGCACCAGCACCCCTCGCGACCCCAATTGGGACAAGCGTGTAAGATAATGGATGGATGGATGGATGGATGGATGGAACAAGAACGCTGGACAGCTATTGGCTTTGTGGCTTTCGACAATCTGGCCCAGACAGACTGCGAGAGGTAGGATAACAGCTGGGATGAATGAGAGTGATTAGCAGAGATCAAGGTGTATCTTCACTCTAATTATCTGAGAGGAGCATAGTAGAGAGTGGAAAATTTGCCTCGTGAGATCATCCTGATCTCGCGAGCTTTCAAGGTTTCACTCGCAGATCAGTCTGGCTACTTTCCGTTAAAGAAAATTTGGAGCAGTTCACCAAACGAACGTCCAATCAGCGTTGGCTTTGAGGCAGGTTGAGGTGTGACGCAACGAGAAGCGCGACAGTTCAGTCTAAAGAACGTCGGAATTACAGAGTATTTCTTCACTGAAAGAAGAGCAAAACACTGCTCTGGAGGCTTTTCTCAGAGGAGCCTTTACCTGCAGCAGCAAGAGTAGCCTGGCTTGTGGTTGTGTTTTCGTTGTCGCTATGTTAGCACGTCATATGCTTCATTGATCTGATTGGTTTATTTGGCCCGTCCATCACCAACATAGGCCAATCAGCTAACCAGTATTTTCGCCCCTTCCCAAAATTACTTCAACGGAAGGTTTCCAGATGGATATGCGGAGCAAATCCATCTGGCAGAGTCAGGTTGGTGGAAAATAGCCAGACAGTCAAAAAAAAACCCAACAACCCAAAAGACAGATGACAGACCAAAATGCCAAACAGTTTTTGAGAAGTTGAGAGTTGGAAGACATCTTTGCAGTTTTCCAGGATGTGAGGGAGAAAGAGGGAGCTCTAATAATTTTGGCTTTCAGACTCTGGTATAGTTTATATCGGAATTTTTAATGTTAACACTAGGTTGTTAATTTACAAATTTTAGGACAAAAAAACAATGTTTTTGTCCCAAACTGGGAATACCAATATTAGCAAACAGGAAACCGGGCATGCACATCGGAGATTACATCACTCCGACTTCCCAGTTCTGAGATCCGAGGTAAGTAGCACACACCTTTATACCCGAATGCCGAATTGTGACATAGACATGTAACAAGCTGTTCTGTTTTAATCAGGAAATTCAACTGCAGGTTCCAGGTTTTCCATGGGTTTGGGTAACAAGTTAAAATAAGTTTACTCTAAAATGTCATAATCTGCACAGTATCAGAAAGATAACACACTTAATGCTCAATTTATTCAGTCTCTTTGCATAAAAATATTTTATTTTGGGTTTAGTTACTTTTTAACTTTCATTTTTCACTACTCCTTGTTCCAATAGTGTGTGTTTGCAGGAATACTGAGATACATTTCGTTAAACTGACCCCATGCACTGAGATCGTGAAAAAACAAAGGAAGGAATCAAAAATTTACAACATGAGTTGGTGATGCAGTTATGTGACTGACTGGGCTCTCTGTAAACCAAACCAACTTTCAGATCAGAAAGGCTAAACAATTTGGATTCAGCTTTTATATTGTCCTTTAATATACTTTAAAAGACAAATTAGAATGACCTTATTACTGTTTAAAGCTTAGCAGTTTAAAGATTAGCAGTTTAAAGCTTGACGAAAACCTTTAAAAATGTGGAATATGCAGCAGGTGAGACTGCATCAGACGTAGCAGGAGGTAAGCACTTCTAAAATCATTAGTTGGTTGCACAGATCACAGCGATTCTGTAAATTATACAAAACTACCCAAAAGCCCAAAGAGATGCTTGACTTTAACTGAACTGCAATTGAATTCCCCCCTCATTACTGCAAAGAATATCATTTAATCTCAGTTACCAAGGCAAGCAGCTGCGGCATCATCCAAAAGGTCACCTTTAAACCACTGAGCTCCTTCCCTGGGGGAGCGTTAGTTGTTCTATTGGACCATGTGGCAACTTATTCCCTTGCATAGTAATTTAATTACTCCATTAACAAGCAGGTTTAGCTGCAGTTGTCAAAGTGACCAAAAACCCCTATAAAGCTCTGAAAAAGTTAAGTTAAATTTTAATATTCATATGAATTACATATTTACATATTAAAAAATAATCTCTAATTACCCAATAAAAAAAAAAAAAACTGCAAAATAAATCATTTACAAATCCATAACTCCTCAGTGGGGGCGTCTGCTTCATTTGCAGGCAACCTAAATTCATTATTTATTCCAGAGAACGAATAAATTGTTCCCACTAGCCTGTAACTGAACTTCAGTTGGTGAAAAATTCAGCCTGAGATCAAGTAACCCAAGTGAGCTGGTATCTAAAGAAAACAAGAGAATGAGAGAAAAGTTTTAATGAATGCATGTGGGTTAGCAGTGGAAGGAAATAATTAGAAACATAGTGTGGAGCTGAAAGAAAGACACAGATCTTAGAAAAGGGATTTTGCTGTAATTTGGGAGCAACCCATGAGTTTTCCTATTCTTTTACTTAGAAAGGTACAAACCAACATAGATTATGAGGCTGATTTATTTCCTTTTTACATAAAAGTAAAGTATTCTGCTATTATTATTATTTTTTGCCATGCAAAAAGCTCTGAAATAAAACTAGTGTCCTAAATAACATAATAAGTTTTCCTACGACAGTGCAAAACTTTATACTTATAGAAACTTATTACAAATCCAGTTTGTACAGTGATAGTAATTTGTTTATGTCTCTATATCAAGCTTTTATTTTAAGCACATATATTCATTCGTATCATTATAGATAACACAGAGAATGAAAATAATTAATAAAGAGAGGTTGAGTAAAAGAAGTGTAGAAAAAAAAGCAGTAAGAGAGATGTGAATAAAGATTAAAGCTAATTTGTCTCTCTCATTTCCACTTTAACTAGGTTTTCCCAGAAAACTGAATAGCCAAGCTTGTCCACATGAAGGGGTGTGTGTGTGTGTGAGTGTGTGTATGCTGGGTGGTCACAAAGATCTGGGATCTCTTCATTCTCCGCCTTCCACAGAGAGAAAGAGAAAAAGCACATGCAGAGGGGAGCTTGGGCAACACATGAACAGCAGAGAGCTGTCAGGCTGTGAGGAGGCAGCGGAGAGACGCCTCAGTCTTTTCTTGGAATACATTCTCCTCTTCATCTCTGAAGCCCACACACGCATGTAAACACAAATACACAGACGGGTGTGGGTGCCGTTCGTAGAAGAAGCAGGGGATTATTTTATGGATCTGGATGCAGGAGAGACAGACATACTTGGACTGTTAAAGTGTTTGGATTCAGTATCTTAGAGACTTAAACTCTTCAAGGATTCAAACTTTGGTTTTGTTAAGCATCTTAGCAGTTAAGACTTTAGGACTTGGTTGAGGAAGGAGAGTCTCTGGAGCAGAGTGAGTTTTCTGAATCTGTCAGGTTGTCCGTGATGAGGAGGAAGATGTGTTGGCTGCTGACAGCAGTCCTGGTTGCCCACCTTGGAAGCACTCTGACAGGAGCGTGGAGAGCAGCGCAGCCAAGGCTACAGTTTACATACTCTGGTAAGAGGCAACATGTGCTTTGTTTTTTCTTAAACCCAGAAAACATTTTAACTTTCTCTCATTTTTTCGTGCTTTTACTGTATATTCTCTCCTTTATACCAGCACTATGCTTTAGTAGGAGAAAAATTAAACAGCATGATGCTCTTCTACCTGTTTTTCAGTCTCTTTTGCACCTTTGCACCATTAATGAATTAACGGTTACACCTTGTCCTCTCAGCATGAGGTCTCTTTAGACTTTAAAATGTATTCACATCATTGTTTACAAAGTTAACTTTATAATAATGGCTTTGAGATGAAATATTTACATATTTACTGCCTCCAGGTTTCTTTTGTGTTCAAGAAAGCTATACTTGCAGTTGACGTGAACAGAAGGGAAGCAAACACCAAGAAAACAATAATTAGACTATTTTATAGATTAAAACAAAAAAGCATTCCAGAAATTGAGTAAAGCTGAATAAATCTATATCTTATATATCTTACTTCATGAACCTGGTACAGTAATTTAAGGACAAACAGAGAAATAGCTTTGGATTTTGGGTTGATTTCATACTATTGCGGGTTTTGTAATGATTATTTTGCTCATCTGAAGGTCTGCTTTGTGAAACTGATCTCATGAAAACATTGTTGGATTAAGCGTATCTGGGTTTGGGACAAATAGCCAATTAGCTGTCCCATTAAATGCCTCTGAGTTCCCATTTCTACACTTTCTACATCCATTAAACACACATAAACAATTCCTTTCATTCTAATATTTGAGAGCTGCACAATTGTTTGAATGATAATTATTATTAAAGTGGGTGTAATATCATAGTTCTTTAGAATGCAAAGTTATGTTTTAATTAGGTGTTCTTTACTTGCGTGTTGACCATACATTTGGCCAGTTTGATGAACTCTCTGGACTCTTACAGCAAAACCAAATGTATATCTCTAATAGTTAAGATAGTTTATAGAGAGGTAGGGACATTCTGTACTGCTTACAAAACCCCAAATTAATTTTTTTTTGTAGATAAATTGTATAAATTAGACCCTAATTGTGGCATCTGTGACAGTACAAATGTTTGACATTTAATTCTCCAATATAGGTATATATGTCTATGTCACAGCTAGGGCTACAACTAATGATTATTTTGCAAATTGATCAATTTGTCGATTATTTTTTTGATTAATAATCAGACTTCCAAATGTTCCTCAAAGAAGATTTTTCTACGAAATGAAACCAGCTGAAACTAACATTTTTCCACTTGTGGGATTCTGGATACAGCATATTGACAGAAGAAAACATTTTTTTTATATCTTAAATGCAAAATGTTTACATATTATTTCACAATGTTGATATAATTACTGCTCTGAGTGTGTAGTTCTGTCAACTAAAGACATGTTTTACAGTCCTTATGCTCAATTTAACAATGAATCGATTTCTAAGTTAGTTGAAGATTATTTCAATAATCAGTTAATCATGAATAAACTGATTAACTGTTTCAGCCCTAGTCACAGCCATGCCATTGGGTATAACAGTATGTTATATGAGCATTCCAGTTTCTTGCTTGTTGGTGTTCATATTCTTCATTGCTTTCTTCATTTTCCACTATGGCCGCTGTTACAACCATAGCATTGGCCAAAACAGTTCCACATGGTATTAAGACTTCCAGATACAAATGGAAGGCACCATAAAACCATCTCATTAAGAAATAACTTTGAAGTCAAACATGGATTTAAAGCCTTTTTAAGGTGAGCATTTTATTACCAATGAGTCAGCATAGCATTTAAATTTAGATGCTTAGATTATTTGTTAGTTGTTAGTCAAGTTCATTGTAATTTTCCTCAGTCTTGACCACACCCTGCTTAAATCTCCTCCCCTATCCCACACTTATCCTCTTGCTGCCCATTTTGCTGACATTTCTCAAACTGTGTCCTGGGGGTAGGGTTTATGCTTTTACAACAGAGTTGGTTGTATTAGAAGAAAGTGATAAATATAATTGGTTTGTGATTTGTACTTCAGGATACATTCACACTCCTTTTCAGGTCTGTGGGTCGATAAAGGTGAGAAAATAGGCGCTCATGGAGATTTCTGGACATGCCCAAACAAAATTTTGCAGTGGGGGAATAGCTTTTTTTTGTGGACATACCATTGCAGTCTGAGCAAAGCAAGAAGAAATTCAGCACCAAGAAGAAAGTCCACCTCATTTTAACACTAGAATACATTTTTTTGATGTTCACTACTTCACTGCTCTAAGTCGCCTTGTGAGACATTTTCAAACCCTTAAGTCTTTGGATTGGCATTGGACTACTGATACAACCTGCAAGTGGCCTTTTTTGTTGGTATACTTTTGTTATTTGATTCATTAGTCACACTTTGTTTAGGGATGCAAATACCTATTTTTCTAAGGGGTATGCAGAGATATTACAGCCCCCCCAAAATAGATTAGATCCTATGTTAATGGCTATAAATCTTATTAATTCATTGATTAGTAAATACAAGGTTTAATTTAGTCTTGCAATAAAAGGGTAAGGGGAACCTAATGTGTTTTGTTTTTATTTCCGTCAGATTGAAACTCTCTTCCCGCTGCATTCTTACAAGTGTTGGTTGAAAAGAAACTTGCAGAAATGTGATGAGAACCGTGTTTTTTTTAGTGCCATCAATACAGCAAAGTTTTCATAAACGGAAACTATAGCTGCAAGGTTCCAGATGGGATATCATTTTATTGCCTTTGGATTTATTTCCTTCTTGTCTATTGGCAACATCTCTGAAACATTTTTTTGACATATACATTTTGCAAACCAAGGACATCCTCTATGATTGACTAATTGTGAGCATCGACCCCTCCTGCAGGATTTGGAAGTGCCTGTGGTCTTCAGATGGCCCAAATCCCAGATCCAGATCCCAACCTAACCAGCAATTTCTTTGCCCTGGGCGGATATGTTAACCAGAGTGAGATCCATGGGGTCGGACGTTGGAAAAATCTTGTTGATGGGTTCAACAGAGCCTTATCATAAATGAGAACAGTTGGCCACAAGTTAATTAAATTTCAGCTATTTATTGGCCAAAACTGCTCAGTAGGTTCGTTTTTCCATTTCTTCTCTCGCTTTAAGGTACGACAGGCTGAATAAACAGATATTTTTGAACAACAGACCAAAGCTCATGTCTGTGGGAATTTTAAACACTATAGATTTTATGTAGTTCTTCATCGACCGTATAAAGCTGCATGTGTTAACGTTGTGAGAGCTGCAGTGGGATTGGGTTTGCCTCACTGGAGAATAGGAGGATTTCAACATGATGTCTGCGTGATAGAGGGTGGATTTGATGCTCTTGGAATTCTCGTGATGGATTCTTCTTCACCAAACAGGGTGGGGCTTAACACTACGACCCATGCAGGGTGTTTTGTTGTTTGCAGGCAACAATCGAGGATCTGCTTGTAATTAAAACAGGATTTAGGGTTTCCTCTCTTAGTTCTAGTTAGGATGAATCTCCAGCAAATTGAAAGGATTGCTGGAGCATCCCAACCCTTTGTTACACAAAGGTAAACGCAGTTTCCTCTAATCATGTGGTGTGGGAAAGCAACAGATTACATCTTCCTGTATAAGTTTAAAGTCACCGTCTGTTCTAATTATTTTGAACCTAAATACAATCAATTGGAAAGAGAAAGAAATATGTAGAAATTTCTTGTTTTTCCTCATGTAGCAACAAAAAGTATTTGCACCCTTTAAGATTTTTTCTTTTTTTTTTTGCAGTGTAAAGACTTTTAAATACATTTTCTTAACAGATAATATCATTTTATTTTTACTTGTTTTATCTTTTTGTAAAATGGTAAATTCATCTGCTTCAAAGAAATTCATACAAAGCAACCTGTCTCTTTCCTAAACCTAATAACTGGCTCTGTGCCTTTAGGCAGCACTAATGGGGCAAATCTCCTTTTCTCTGCACTGGAGCTGTGTGGGTAGGTGTGAAGGCTGTACACCATGTCTGTTGGAGGTAGATATGTTTGTATAATGGTGTTTGTGTTTCTGCACACGTAAAGATATGGTAAGGTGAAGGCTTCTGTATATGTTCACAAACAAAGCTGCTTTACTTTCAGGATGAGCGCTGACTCCTCTTTTTGTTTTGTGTTCCACTGAGGCAAATCCTTCTATCTTTCAACAACACAGATCTGGGTGTATTTCTTTTATCTACAATGGCCAATATATCCAATCTGAAGAGGGAAGGAGCAAAAAAAAAAAAAAAAGGAAGTGTGATGGATGAAAAGGACTGTGATGTCCATCATCCTGTGTGTGTATGTGTGTCCACATGTGTTCTTTCTTTCTTTCTTTCTCTCCACGGGAGCTCCACACTGTGGTCATTTCCACGCTGTAGCTTTCACTCAGACAGAGGGTGGAGATTTTTTGGAAGGGAATTGCTGTAATTAGAGAAGGATTTGAGCTCCATTCAGACATTTTGACTCTGACGTTATTTGGCAGCTCAAACACGCTCTACGCCGCGATTTTTCTTGTGTCTTGGAATTATAGTAGGAGACTAATTGAAAAGAAAAACAGTGGAGTCGGACATTTAAATGAGTTATTTCACTGCATTGGTGAAACAAATTGTGACCTATAAAGATATATGAAGCAGAACGTAAGCAGAGCCCAGTGATTTTTAAAAGGTGTGGCAGCCTTATAAAAACGATGGCGTAAAATAACATAATCAAGTAATCAAACATCAGGAAATGATGAAAAAAAAAATATACATCCGAATTTCTGTGCAATAAAATATGACATTTTTTTGGTTATATTTTAGCAATAATTTTTATATTAGATAATGTTTAAAAATAGTTTAAATTACCAGTGTTTCTCTTGCTATCTTACCTGATTTCAAGTAACCGTCTTTGCGGTTGGTGCACTTTGGCTCTGTAGGACCTTTTTCAGTTAAATAGCTTTTCAGGACCTGTTTCACTTGTTTCCCGCCTGATCTAACCAAAAAGGCTGTATGGAGGATTTTACCAACCATTGTTATGTTTATTAAACAGGAA